TCCAACAAAGATGTGATGTCCATCAACCCCTTAGGAGCCTCCACAACCTCGTCATGCCCGGGGTATTCAAGCACCTCCCGGGATAGCATGCATTGTGTGAGCAAGTTTCCAAAGAAGAATCTCTTGATCTGCCGCCCAAATCGTGTGCGGGCCATCTCCCCTAGCATGATATCATCCACATTGATGGGTCGCCCAGTCATCAGAAAAAATATCACACACACTCGAGCTCGAGTGCATTCACTGTTGTGTTCAACCAACATGAGTCGGGCCTGCAAGAAATTTTGCCACACCTTAACGGTCTTGTTGCAATCGAAGCGGATCATCTAAAGATGGGCATCGCCCTTAGTTCTGTTCCTCTTGGCATTTGAATCGACGCCACAAAGAGTGACGTATCGTCGTGTAGCTTGGGCTTTTGACAAATTTTTGTAGCCTCCGCAGGTTAGAGTTATCAACTCCCAAAAATTCAAATAAGGACTGCCTATCAATTGGCACCTTCTTTCCACGGACCCATGACGTGACTAAGTCCGCATTCCAATTGGCATACAATTCTCACACCATGCTCAAATTCTCATGGCCGAGGCACTCTAGGAATTTATGCATTTTCAGTTCTTGCAACCGGGAAAGCACGTCCGGGAAGTTCTTTTCAAAAGTTTTCACATTAATACCCATCTCGGAGACATACCACACATATGGCACGAAGTCCCTATGCCATTGGATGGCACTATCACGAACTAGATCCAAACAAGTTCTCGATCGCAATGCTTCCATTTTTTGATCCATCGGCAACTTGTTTCCCTTTCGCTTGCCCAGACGATCCTTCTCATTGCTTGCACTTTTTAGATGCTGGAGCAGTGATTGAGGACTTCCCTACTCCCTTACCCTTGTTCGCACTATCACGAACCATAGCAACCTACAACACAAATAATCATGAATGTGAGAATAAATCAAGAAATCCGTCTAAGGTTATCGTGAGAGTCAAAGATGTCCCCACACTTAAAACTGAAGACTCACTGTAATAGACTCACAATCTTGGTGTTAAACGCACAAGTGTTGAACCACAAGGCAATGGGTACTCAAGACTTCCCCATGCCGCACAATTAGATTCACTAACTATGCCACACAAGTCAAGTGGTCGATCATGGCGAAGTGATGTAGCCTTAAGGCAAGCAAATAACATATAGTCCTTAATCTCTACAACGAATACACTGCACTAGCTAATTCTAACAAAGTGCTAAAATATACATAATACAAGATATATGGTATGGGCGATATGTGCACATTAAAACCAAGCTCCGAATTATGTAAAACCACCCCCAAACACCCCACACTTAGCCCGATATCACATACAACTACACTCGGTTACTCAGACTTCACCGGTGCACAAAGTACTTATTCAAACAATTTAGCAAACACGTGGTGGGCATGAAGTATGTGCAACTTAATTCGACAATGGTGGAACACGGTGGCCCTCCCAAATTTCAACGAAGTAGAGGGAATTCTAGTTTACTATTCCGTATATAATACAACAATCAAGTGTTGTCAACAAATTTCATTCTCATTATACCCACCCACCATAAAAAAAACTCTAAGAAATAATTATGGGGGAATTTGGGGATAGGGTGTTTGGGAAGGGGGTGTTCATTATTACCTACCAACTAAAAGAAAAGAAGAAGAAAAAGAAGAAGAGAAACATATCTGTAGGATTTAGGATGAGAGCAAGAGAAAAGCATGAAAAACTTGAGAGAGGGGAGGAAGAAGAAACGCGAGCAGAGAGGAGTTTGAGAGAGAGGGGGAGAGAGAGAGATTTACGGGTGAGATGGGGAGGGGTTAGAATTATGTTGAATTTGTTTTTAAGTGAAGATGGGTTGGGTTATTGGGTATGGGTTAATCAAATAAATAAATAAAATAAAAAGAAATAAAAATTTAATACATACCTGACCCCTAGCCCAGCGCTCCATGCTAGGCCTGGCGCTGGGGGTCCGAACTTTCTGTAAACTGCGCCCCAGGCAGCNTATCTAATTTATACACTCTACACCATTCTATCTATGATTTCTATGCCTATAAAGATAACAAAAATTCTAATCTACTCTAACTAAAAAAAAATTGAAAAACTAAGCTATGAAAGCAATAAAAATTGGGTTGCCTCCCAACAAGCGCCTGATTTAACAGCGCGGCACGACCCCTGGCCTCGCTTACTCATCTGCGAGTACTACTTTGGTATTCTCACGATCAATAATTCCTCCCCAATAGTGCTGGACTCTTTGCCCATTCACCAAAAATTTTCTTTCACCATTTAGAGTGCGCATCTCAATTGCACCATAAGGAGTGACTCTCACCACCTTAAATGGACTTGCCCACCTCGATTTTAACTTCCCACTTCCCATGAAATAGCTTGAGCATAGAGTTGAACAATAGTACTTGTTGGCACGGTTCAAAATGATGTGGCTTGATACGCTTGTCATGTCATCTTTTTGTCTTCTCCTTGTAACTCTTAGCATTTTCATAAGAGTGCAGCCTGAACTCATCTAACTCATTCAACTGCAAGAGCCTCTTCTCGTCCGCGGCTTCAAAGTTCATATTTAACTTTTTAACTGCCCAGTACGCCTTATGTTCAAGTTCAACAGGCAAGTGACATGCCTTCCCATAAACAAGCTTATACGGCGATGCCCCAATTGGTGTTTTGTATGCAGTTCTATATGCCCATAAGGTATCATCTAACTTTGTAGCCCAATCCTTCCTATTCACACTCACTGTCTTCTCTAATATTTTCTTTATTTCTCTGTTGGACACCTCAGCTTGTCCACTTGTTTGCGAATGATATGTCGTGGCAACTCTATGGTGGACCCCATATTTAGCTAGAAGGTTATTCAACAACCGATTGCAAAAATATGTCCCTTCATCACTAATCAAGGCACGTGGAGTCCCAAACCTCGAGAATATGTTCTTCTTCACAAAAGCGGCTACCACCTTGGCATCATTTGTTGGCAATGCGATCGCTTCTACCCATTTTGACACGTAGTCAACTGCTAGCAAGATATATTTGTTTCCTCTGGATAATGAGAATGGTCCCGTAAAGTCTATCTCCCACATATCAAATCTCTACCTCCAGGATGTTATTCAAAGGCATCTCATGCCTCTTTGTGATAGTCCCTGTTCTTTGACACTGGTCACACTTCTTAACAAATGCATGGGCATCCTTGAACAATGTTGGCCAATAGAACTCGGATTTTAACACCTTTGCAGTTGTCCTATCGCCTCCACGATAGCCCCCATAAGGTGAGGCATGACAATCATACAACACTAATTCCACCTCCTTTTTCTGGAATGCACCTCTCATCAAGTGATCAGCACACTGTTTTTACAAGAATGGCTCATCCCAGTAGTAGAAAATTTCATCATGTAGAAACCTCTTTCTAGCTTCAGATTCAATTTCAGGAGGAAGTATCTCACTCACAAGATAATTCACATAGTTCGCGTACCATGGAGGGGGGGGATCTTAGGTGATAGCAAAAAGTTGCTCATCAGGAAATGCCTCCTTAATTTGTCCACCTTCCTCCACATGCTCGTGATTTTTCAGTCTTAATAGATGGTCGGCTACTTGGTTTTTTGTGCCCTTCCGATCTCATATTTCTACATCAAATTCCTGCAACAACAAAACCCAGTGCATCAATCTAGCTTTGGATTATTTTTTTGAAAATAAATTTCTGATTGCCGCATGATCGGTATGGACAATGATTTTTGTTCCCACCAAGTACGCCCGAAATTTCTCAAAGGCCCACACAACAGCCAACAACTCCTTTTCAGTGGTGGTGTAATTCAGGTGTGCATCGTCAAGAGTCTTACTCTCATAGTATATGGAGTAAAACATTTTGTCCTTCCTCTGGCCTAGCACTGCCCCAATAGCATGGTCACTTGCATCACACATAAGTTCAAATGGTAAGGACCTATCCGGTGCCGCAATAATGGGGGCACCCACCAACTTCTTTTTGAGCTCCTCGAATGCCTTCAAACAGGCTTCATCAAAATTAAGGGTTACATCTTTTTCAAGCAACCTGCATAAAGGAATAGCAATTTTTGAAAAATCCTTAATAAAGTGTCTATAGAACCCCGCGTGTCCCGAGAAACTCCGGACACCCTTCACAGATATGGGTGGAGTTAATTTTTCAACCGCCTCTACCTTCGTCTTATCAACTTCAATGCCACTCCTTGACACTCTATGGCCCAACACGATACCTTCTTGTACCATAAAATGGCATTTTTCCCAATTTATCACTAAATTTGTTTCTTCACAATGGGCCAACACCTTGCCCAAATTCTTCAAACAGTCATCATAAGAAGACCCAAAGATTGAAAAATTATCCATGAAGACTTCCGCAAATATTTTCACCATATTAGTGAAAATATCCATCATGCACCTCTGGAAAGTGGTCGGCGCATTACAAAAGCCAAACGGCATTCGCTTGAAAGCGAAAGTACCAGAAGGACAAGTAAAATGGTCTTCTCTTGATCCTCTAGGCATATGACAATCTGATTGTATCCCGAATAACCATCAAGGAAGCAATAATATTCATGCCCCGCCAATCTGTCTAACATTTGGTCAATGAATGGAAATGGGAAGTGTTCATTGCGACTTGCTTTGTTGAGCCTTTTGTATTCAATGCAAAATCTCCACCCCGTCACGATGCGAGTAGGAATTAGATCATTTTTCTCATTCTCTACAATAGTCATCCCCCCTTTTTTGGCACACGTTGCACTGGGCTTACCCAGTTGCTATCAGAAATAAGGAAGATGATACTTGCATCAAACCACTTAATTACTTCCTTTTTCATGACCTCTTTCATAATGGGATTTAATCTCTGTTGTTGCTCAACACTAGGGCGGTGTCCATCTTCCAGAAAGATTTTATGCATGCAAAATGATGGGCTGATTCCTTTGATGTCAGCAATTGTCTACCCAATAGCCTTTTTATGCTCACGAAGCATTCTGAGCAATTTTTCTTCTTATATATCGGTCAAGCTGGATGAGATAATCACTGGCAAAGTCTCAGAGCTTCCCATATAAGTATAGCGCAGATGCGCTGGAAGGGGCTTAAGCTCTAGCTTTAGAGCTTCTTCGATAGATGGCTTAGGAGGGGTCAGAGTAACAGGTCTGTCCAACTCCTCAAATCTCCCAAACCCATGGACATAACTGCAAGACATGGTAAGTACTTGCTCAATTTCTTCCATCATTTCATCTTCATTGTCTTCTTCATCCCCAATCAAGGCTTGTTCAAGAGGATCTATGGGGCTCATATAATGCACCAATGATGTCACATCACTTTCCACCATAAAAATCATGGATAGCTCTTCATAGTGGGCTGGAAATTTGAGTGCTTTATATCCATTGAATACCTCCACTCGATCACCCACTCTCATCGTCATCTTTCCTTTGCATACAACAATAATAGCTCGGCCCATGACTAAGAATGGATGCCCTAAAATAAATGGGACTTCCTGATCAGGCTCATAGTCTAAGATAATGAAATCAATAGGGAATATGAAAGAACCCACTTGAACTAACACATCTTCAATCACTCCTTCAGGATGAGCAAAAGAGCGATCAGCTAACTGTAAAATCATCGTGGTTGGGCGTGGCTCACCTAACCCCAACTTTCTGAACACAGATAGTGGCATTAAATTGATACTTGCCCCAAAATCACACAAAGCTCGCCGACAACGTGCTAACCAATCGAGATTTGGATAGTGAAACTACCTGGATCCTTCAATTTCTGAGGTAGCTTACTTTGAATTCTTGGGCTACATTGTTCAGTGAGTGCCATAGTCTCGAACTCTGTCAACCTCCTCTTATTTTCCACTATGTCCTTGATGTATTTGGCATATTTGGGCATTTCTTGCAGGATGTGTACCGGTGGAATATTGATTTGCACCTGCTTCAAAATATCAAGAAACTTTTTATAGGCCGCATTATCCTTCACTTTCTGCAATCTCTGAGGGAACGGAGGTGGTGGCCTCGCAACTAATGGTGGGGGTTGCTTAGCCACCGCCTCTTCAGCTGGCTTCTCTAACTCATTTGCTTTTTCTAATTCTTCTTCTATGGTGGCCGATTTCTCATAAAAGGTCACTTGCTTTCTCTTTTTTGATGGGACTTTTTCTAACCGTCTCTCATTCCTCAATGACACAACATTAATAGATGCCTTAGGATTAGCCTCAGTATTGCTTGGAAGAGTTCTAACTGGTCGAGTATTTTGGGCACTGGCAAGTTGCCCCATTTATCGCTCCAAATTTCTCATCGTTATTGCTTGGTCCTGTTGGTCAGCCATCAGTTTCTTTAGCATCTCCTCAATGTGACTCGTCGGGTTTATAGTTTGTTCAACCTATGGTGGTCTATATTGCTGTTGAAGAGCTTGTGGCCTGTACTGATTCTGAGCACCTTAGTTTCCATCCCCAAGAGAAGTTTGGGTGGTTCCTCCAGTTAGGATTGTAAGTATTCCCATACTGGTTTGTCTGGCCCCTATTTGCATTACCCATAAAATAGACAGACTCTGGATTAGCTGGGCATAAGTCGCTCGTGCGACTCTCTCCACAAACTTAACAAAATATCTGAACACGTTGCACTGGCTGAGCTTGTTGCTTGTTAATAACAAAGGTTATCTTATTGACTTGGTTGGCCAATGTGGCAACCTGCACTGATAATGCAGAGACAACATCTAACTCGAGAACCCCTGCAGATTTTTGCACTGTGTGTCTGCCCATCTCTCCTTGCCAATCAGGATTGCTTTTGGAGAATTTGTTCAATAATGCATATATCTCATCGAAGCTTTTCTCAAACACTTGACCTCCCACTGCAGCATCCACCACAATCTTTGTCTCAGGATGTAGCCCTTATATGAAATGTGAGCTAACACTTTATTTTTCTGATTATGATGAGGACAATCTCTAAGCAGCCCCTTGAACTTTCCCTAAGCTGAGTATAAACACTCCCCCGATTTCTATTTGAATGCGACTATCTCACTTTTGATCTTTGCAGTTTTTCCTGAAGGAAAGAACTTTGCCAAAAATTTCCTCGCCGGATCATTCCATCATATAATAGAATTAGTTGGTTCCGCCTTCAACCATCACTTTGCTTTGCCTAACAGAGAGAATAGGAATAGTGTGAGCCTCACATAGTTTGGAGTAACTCCGTTAGTGATATAAGTATCACTAATCTCCAAGAAGTTTAGGATGTGATGTTGTGGATCCTCGTGTGGAAGACCCATAAACTGCCTATCCGCATGTAGTAACTGGATCATGCTATGTTTCAGCTCAAAGTGCCTAGTGATTCTGCACTTCACGATGCTGGAGGTAACATTAGCAATGCTGGGCATCGCCACCTCCTGAACAGCCATATGTTGTTCTTCTGCCATGTCCACAGGAAATTGAACAAGTGCCTGAAGATTATCTGTGTCCCTTGCTTCCCTCAACCTCCTGTGAAATATTCTCTCAGGTTCGGGGTCAAAGTCTTGAAGTCTATCCTGGCTCGCATTCAATCAAAGTTCCTAAGAGTAGAGCAACCAATAAGAAATGTTAGACTTGACGAAATAAGTAATTAAAGTAAAAACTAGAAAGTATTCGATATTCAAGTCCCCGGCAATGGCGCCAAAGACTTGTTGCTCCCAAATGCACACGCAAGTATACGTAGTAGTACAAGTAATAAAATGATAATTCGAGTGTCGAACCCACAGAGACTTGTGTTAACTACCTACTAGTTTCACCAAGATTATTATTCAATCAAGTCAATCAGATTTTAAAGGTGTGATTATACTAAGCAATAATTCTAACAAGTAACTAATTTATCAAGCAGCAAAATAGTTGTTACGTATTCAGTAGAGATGAATATTTCAGGGTTGTGATCGATTCACCAATCCTATTGTGCTCTAATTAACTCTCCCTTTCATACAATTCACTCATAGCTGCTAATTAATCGAACAATTGCTCTTGTAGTATTATCCTGAATACATACTCGCTTATTCAAAATAGATTAACGCTTATATTCCTATGGAATCAATCTATTAAGAATGCATTACGATTGCGATATTTAATTAAGCACGATGACTAGGTATATTCCTATCCTAACCATAAATCCACCCCCCACTCAGAGTTATGATCATGCTCTCTTCAATTCTTCTTTAATCTAGACGTTGCTTTCCCAAGCATAGCATAGATAGTAAATAGAACCTAACTATTGGCCAGACAATTAAGAAATTAATCACAGAATTGAAGAAACAATCATATATTGGTGAATTGTAATCAAGGTTAAGTCAACTTTAAACAACAATATTCATGGCTAAATCACAACCCCAGAACTATGAATTTTAGCCACTCATGATAATATCAAAACAAATTCACAATTGTTGAATAATTGAAGATACTAAGAAAAGATGAAGAAAGCTGAGATATCCTCGCTCCTGGGTATTCCTCTTGTGTATTTTTGCTTCAAAGTGGCCTCTCCTCTCAAAATAGGCTTAGTCTTGCTTTTATACGCGTTGGGTAGGTCTTTGGCTAAAATAACCTTGTCCCAGGTGAAGTAGGAGAGTTTTCCCGTCACAGCGCTGGGAAATTTTTGATTCTGGAAACTGCGCCACAGGTAGCGCCCCACGCTACCTGTGGCGCTACAAATGGCCATTTTCAACTTTTGCTCCTTTTTGGCTCTAATCTCGCACCTTTCGCCCCCGGATGATTATTACATATAAAACCACCACGAATTAGCATAAATCAATACATTTCACATCCTAAATCCACGAAACAAGAGTAAAATATGAGGTGATATACATAAAAATATATATACTTTAAGCTAAATATCAGTCGTTGATGCAAAAGTCAAACTCCGGTCAACCCTCACAACTTAAGCCTCCAACCAAGAAACTATGTGTCTCAATTCAATCCAAAACTCCCCCGAAACTAAACCAACCACCACGACAAGTTACATAACGAAAAATAAACATATGTAAAGAATCAAATAGAGGAAACAGGGCTAAAACATGCAAAATGACCAGTCGGGTCATTAATTGAACCCCGCCTGAGCACTCAACTTTCGCAAATACGACTCAAGCTTCACAAATGAGAAACTCGCAATTGTGATCCCGAGCATTGCTAATGCAACACTGTCCTTCCTCTCTTTTTTCTCACAAATGCGAGGTTATATCCGCAAATGCAACCTCTGCATTTGCGAATATGTCATTGTAAATGCGATAACAGCAGTACCAACAATGGACAACTCCCAAAAATTACCCGAAACCATCCTGAAACTTATCCGAGCCCCTCGGGACCCCATCCAATCATCCAGACAGGTGTATAAACGTAACACAAACTCGCACGTAATCTCAAAACATCATAACAACATCAAAAATTAAGAATCAAGCATCAAAACGCAAGAATTTCCAATGTTCATAATTCAAATTTCTAACTTTCGACTAGAAGAGCCGAAATGACCTCGGGTCACCCGAGACCCTAACCAAATATACATACAAGTCCAAAATCTTCATACGAAGCTAACATAATATCAAATCGCCAATCTAGAGTTGTTTACACAAAAGTCAAATATAGATCAATTGCAACAACCTAAAGCTTCTAAATTGAGAATTTTATTTTTCAAAACACTCCCAAACCTCCCAAAAATTAAAACCAACCCCGCATGCAAGTCGTAAACCATCAAATAGACCTACTCGATGTCTTGAATTGCAAAATGGAGTGCTAGAACTCAAAATAATTGTTCGAGTCATTACACATAATGGCTCAAATCAAGGATCTTTTAGCTCCATCATAGACATTAGTCTGTCTTCCTTAACCAATTCATGGTAATACTTCAAGGATATTTTAGCTCCATCTACTTGAAACTTCCTACTACCATCTTTAGTCTAAAATTCAACTACTTCATTTGGAAATACCTGAATCACTCTAAACGGGCCTAAACTTCTTTTTCAACTTCCCTGGGAAGAGTTTGGGTCTTGAATTATACAACAATACTCGATCTCTAGTGTTAAATTCCATGTTCATGATATGCCCGTCATGAGCTATTTTCATATGCTCTTTATATAACATTGAGCTCTCATAAGCTTGTAGGTGAAACTCATCTAACTCATTCAACTCTGTCAATCTTTGTGCTCCAACAACCTTATTTTTTCCTTTTTTTTAATTTGGTAGGGGGTCGCGCGAATGCAAGCCCCCACTATCAAAAATTATGACGTAGCCTACCACTTGGGCCGACCTTAGGCGGGCACCCCTCCAAAGTGAAATGGAGGTCACCATCCTAGGCCATGAATCTTGTTGATCGCCCATTGACCCCATCCAAGTAAGTATCCAATGGCCTCCATATCCAAGTTAAAATGCTTTAACGCCCATAGAGCCTTGTGCTCAAGCTGTACAGGAAAATGATAGCCTTTCTAAAAATAAGTTTGTATGGTAACATCCCAAGAGGAGTTTTAAATGCAGTGCGATATGCCCATAATGCATCATCCAATTTATTTGCACAATCAGTCTGAGTATCATTGACTATTTTATTGAGAATGCTTTTAATTTCTCTGTTAGTCACCTTCACTTGCCCAATTATCTGTGGATGATACGGTGTCTCCACCTAATGATGAACGCCATATTTTTTCAATAGCTTATCAAAAGCTCAATTGTAAAAATGGGTACCATCATCACTAATTATTTCTATTGGAGCACCAAATTCAGTGAAAATATTTCTTTTCATGAGCTTGATTACTCCCTTGGCATCATTTGTTGGCATTACAACTACCTCAACCCACTTTGACATGTAGTCAACTGCAACTAAAATGTATTTGTTATAGAATGAGCTCACAAACAGTCCCGTGAAAATCGCTACCCTATACATCGAATACCTCAACCTTCAGATTTCGGCGCATAGGCATCTCATGTCTACGAGAGATGTTACGTGTGCTCTGGCACTCGTCATATTTTTCACCCAGTTGTGTGCATCTTCGACCGCTATTGGCCAATGAAAACCTGACTCAAAACTTTAGTCGATATTCGGATCCCTCCAAAGTATCCTCCATATAGGGAAGCATAGAAAGCCTGCAAAACAGAGTTTATTTCTTCCTCGAGGACACATCTCCTAATCATGTTATCAATACAAATATGAAACGGATACGGGTCATCCCAAAAATATGAATTGTAGTCACGAAATAACTTTTCTTTTGATCATGAGAAAAATTAGAAGGTACCATACCAGCTAGATAGTTCGCTATGTGTGCATACCATGTCACCATGTATA